AGAACAGGTTGTGGTGAATGAGATCAACTTTCTGAGGAGTCCTTTTCCACTGGGATTTGTGACTCCACCTAGGTCCCCAGGGAAAACAAGCTTCTGGCTTCTAAACGAACTCAAACCATGGCACTGAACAGCTTGTAGAGGTTGTTAGAGGCTCTCTGGGTTGGACAAACCCTAGCAAATGTGCATTAAGAGGCAACATGAAGGGACTTCCCTGGTGATCTAGTGGCTAAGAATCCGCCTTCCAATGCAGGGGACATGGGTTTCGTCCCTAGTCAGGGAACTAAGATCCCACCTGCTGCAGGGCAACTCAGCCCACTAGAGAGAAAGCCTGTGCACCACAGCAAAGACCCAGCACAGCCAAAAAGAAAAAAAAAAAATGAAGAAGAAGATGCACTATGAAATAATAGAAGAAGCAGGAAGTGGCAGAAAGGGACAGATCTAAGTTTGAATCCAACTCTGCCACTTTTCAGGTATAAGATCTTAGGTAGATTCCTTATCTTCTCACAGTCCCCATTTCCTAGGATAATATCTATACTGCAGGGTTGTCTTAGGAATCAGAAATAACTAGCCTGTTAAATGTTTAGCACAATACCTGACACACCATAGTAGCTCTTCTGATCACGTTCACTTTGGCACAAAGTGGAACGAGGTAGAAAGAGGTAAGTAGTCCACAAAGGAATAAGCTTCTTCCTCAAGCTGCCAGTGGCAGGAAGCAACCTGCCCTCACTCAGCTTGAAGTCCACCCAGAAGACAATCTAGTAAGGATGGAAATACCCCAGGTGAGTGGCTTCAATGGGAAAACATGAGAAAATACGCTCACCCTCTGACCAACTCTTTCTCTCTATGACACTGCAATTTGCAAAGCCCCTAGCATCCAAACGGCAGCCATCAGCAATAAGAGAGGCTGGTACCCAGAAGTCGCCCCTATTTGCTGCTCAGTCCACAGTGCCTCAGTTCTCATTTCCAGCATACTGATGAGTCTCTTGATTGTTATTAGTTAATTCAGTACCAACAGGGGGAAAACTCAGTGATATTTCAGAGGGGAATACCAAATGAACTTGAGCTGAACCATCACATGATCCCAAGGAGTGTGACAACGTGGGAATGAAACAATGGAGGCTCCTGCCAGCACTGAGGGCAGACAGAGCATGGAATTCAGTGTGGTTAATTCTCCAGGAGAGATTTCACAAGGGCCCAAATCCTCCAAAGCATGAAAATCACACGGGCTCTTACCAAAGAGGAAGTCAGATACAATGCAGGGAAGGGCTTGGGAGCACTGGCTGGCTGCCCGGGCCCCTGGATAAGTTGGTTTGTGTGGCCATACCAGCAAAGACACGCAAATACAGCACCAGCAAGGTAGGGTTGGGGGAGCTGAAACCCCGAAAACAATGAGCATAACAGCAGCTGTCAGGGAAGGTGCTTCTTGGTAGGACTATTGTAGAAAGGAGGGTCAAGAAGGAACAAGGAGCTTCCCTAATCCAACCAATTCCAGTCAAGACCAAAACCTGTTTCTATCTATAGAAGATCCCCTGGAGGAGGGCACAGCAACTCACTCCAGTATTCTTGCCTGGAGAATCGCATGGACAGAGGAGCCTGGTGGGCTACAGTCCACGGGGTCACAAAGAGTCAGACATGACTAAAGCGACTTAGCACAGCACAGTACACCTATCAGTAATTACTGACCACCTCCTAAAGGCCAGCAATAGATGGCAGTTCGGGTAAATTCCAATGAAATAGGACACCTGCCCTGGAGAAACCTATTGTCTTGTTGGGAATGCAAAATAGCTCTCAAAATAGCGTCATCCTTGGGACTCCCCTGATGGTCCAGTGGTTAAGACTCTGCGCTTCCAGTGCAGGGAAAGTCTTGATCCCTGGTCAGGGAACTAAGATCCCACATGCCAAGCAGCCAAAAAATAAATAAATAAAAGTAAAGAACAAAAATAAAATATCATCCTTGGAAGATTATGTGCCTGTAAAAATCCAGACCCATGCCTTGTCCCTGTGCTTAATGCTAGCATCCATCAGATTAGTGGGTGCTTGATTATATTGGAGAAGAGCTAAACTCAAAATCAAGGTATATGGACAAAAAATAAGAGCTAAGTCAAGAAAACATTCGGGGTAGATATTGGTGGCCAATCAAGTCTTCCCAGAAAGTGTGGAAAGACAGAGGAATGTGATAGAGAAAAGAGGACATTCCTGAAACACACATGTGAAGACACAGCATAAGACATTAGCATCCTATATGTTGATAAACTTTCTCTTAATGTGTGGTCCACAGACCACCCACAGTGGATTTTGGCCCCAGCAACTGAGTTCAGATCTCTGTAGAGTGGAGCCCAGGAGTCCGAATCTCTAATAAGCACCCAGGCTCTCTTGTGCTGTGCTGAGTTGTTCAGTCATGTCTGACTCTGTGCAACCCCACGGACTGTAGCCCGCCAGGCTCCTCTGTCCATGGGATTCTCCAGGCAAGAATACTGTAGTGGGTTGCCATGCCCTCCTCAGGGGATCTTCCCAACCCAGGGATAGAACGCAGGCCTCCTGCATTGCAGGCAGATTCTTTACCATCTGAGCTACCAGGGAAGCCTCCCCAGGCTCTCTTAATGTGCATCAAAATTCAGAACCACTGATTGAGGGGTCTCAGACTGAAACACATACTCTCCCTTTAAAGACAGAAAGAGAAGTAGGGAAGGAAGGAAGGCTGAAAGAACTGTTTGGGACCAGAAAACACCTATCCGCTAGGATTTTATATAACCTGCTACAGCAGACAAAGTAGTTTCAACCCAGGTTTTGTGATTGACACGATCTCCAGGCTAGTCGACTTTGCTCTCTGCTTCCTGAATCTGTCCTCTCTGTGTCTTAAAACCACATACAGACTATGCTGCTAATAAAGCATACTGCAGCTCTCCTTACCTGAAGTGAGACAGCCATATCGTATTCAGCATGAAGTCCAAGACACTCATCCTTGGGCTTTTCAAGCATTTCATGCTTCTGCTCCCTCATCCCTCCCCTTCTCCTTGGGAATCAGAGCATCCTGGAATATAGCACCAAAAATATCCGATTCCACACGGAACCTAGGCAGGACCCGCTTCAGACTCTCCTAGTCTTCAGACCTACACCAGCCACACCCTGGAGTCAGGCAGACCTGGGTTTATGATCACAACTGTATCACTTACGAGCTATGTGATCTATGCAAGTAACTTCTAAGAAGTTACTTCTTTACCAGAAAAAAAAAAAAATGAGAAGAAGAGCAATCTGATGGGCTTGCCATGAGGATGAAGATGACAGGGATAAAGTAATCACCACAGCACCTGGACAATTAAGATTCCAGGTGTTCACTGGATGTGAACTGAATACCCACCCCCCCCCTTTCTCCTATATCCAATCTTGTCCTGTTCGGGGGTCCTCTTGCACGGCTCACACAGGACAATCTCAGCTCCTGAGTTTCTGTTACACTTGCCACCCATGTGTCAAAAACATAAGTTTAGAGAGTGAATGTGAGAGAAGCACAATTACTCCAATCAAAATTAAACGAAACTCTGAGTATACTCGGGTTCCTTGGTGGCTCAGACAGTAAAGAATCTGCCTAGAATGCAGGAGACCAGGGTTCGATCCCTGGGTGGGCAAGATACCCTGGAGAAGGGAATGCAACCCACTCAGTATTCTTGCCTGGAGATTTCCACGGACAGAGGAGTCTGGCAGGCTACAGTCCGTGGGATCACAAAGAGTTGGACATTACTGAGCATCTAACACTTTCACTAACACTTCGAGTGTACTAACGAATTATCTTTTCATATATACTTTAAGATGATTCATTGGATTGGGTATCTTTGCATAGTATTTTCACTTCTAGATTTCTCCATTTTTTTAAATAGAAGTTTAATATATTTATATTATCATAGATTACATAAGGGCTTCCCAGCTGGCACTGCTGCTGCTGCTAAGTCGTTTCAGTCGTGTCCAACTCTGTGCAACCCCATAGACGGCAGCTCAGCAGGCTCCACTGTCCCTGGGATTCTCCAGGCAAGAACACTGGAGTGGGTTGCCATTTCCTTCTCCAATGCTCAGGTGGCACTAGTGGTTAAAAAAAAACAAAACTGCCTGCCAAGGTAAGAGACATAGGAGATGTGGGTTCTATACCTGGGTGGGAAAGATCTCCTGGAGTAGGAAATGGCAACCCACTCCAGTATTATTGCATGGAGAATTCCATGGACAGACACTACAGTCCATGGGGTCACAAAGAGTCAGACACACAAAGAGTCGCTTAACTAACACACCAGTATACTTGCCTGGGAAATCCCATGGACAGAGGAGCCTGGTGGGCTACAGTCCATGGGGTGGCAAAGAGTCGAACTTGCCTGAAGTCATTTAGGACACAGGCACAGACCCACCTGCCGTGCGAAGCACTGTGCAGAAGTATCTCATTTAATTCTCACAGCAGCCCTACCAGAGAAGGACCATAATTCTGTGCAGAGGAAACTGAGGCTTAAGAAATTTAAGTACCTTAGCCAGGGTCACACACTAGTAAGCAACTATTAGAGATCTCAAAATTGCTCAATAACCAATTGCATTGATGATGCTTGTCTTCTTTTAACTTCAAGTATAGAGGCTGTGGTTTAATTGCTTTTAACTTCCAATGAAGCTCCCTGTGGCTTTCCAAGCAGAAGATAAACAGTAGGACAGGTGTTACTTTAAGAGAGGGATGGGAGTTGTAACCCGAAGCCTCCTCCAGCCTTAAGCCCAAGAAGTCTGGGAGGCTGCGCCGGAGCCGGTGCGCGTCTGTAAACTCCCGCGGGTCTGGCACGTCTCTTTCTTCCAAAGTTGGAGCTCTCCTTGGTGGGAGGGGGCGGGGAGGAGGGGAGGCCAGTGACGTCACACGCGAGCGGGGATAAAGCTCCCGGGTCGCGGTCCAGCGAGGACACTGCCCTGGGAGCGGAGTGGGCTGTGCCGCTCGGGGACACTCGCTGCGGCCCCGCCCGAGCAAGGCAGTGCCAGGAGGCACCATGCCCCAAAACGTGGTCCTGCCCGGGCCGGCGCCCTGGGGCTTCAGACTCTCTGGGGGCATAGACTTCAACCAGCCTTTGGTCATCACCAGGGTAGGTGTTTTCCATCCTTCGGCTGCAAGTCGGGGACTCTGGCGTGCCGCGGGCCCCCTCGGGAGAGGAGCGCGGCCAGTGAGCCACTGGGGTGTGGTGGGTGGGTCCTGGCTTCGGGTTCACAGGTCGAGGGACGGCAGCATCTCGGCGAACAAAGTTCGGAGGATGCGGAGCGGCTTAGAGAATTAACCACGTCCGTCCTAGCGGTCTCTTTCAGCAGCCTCTTGGCCTCCCGCAGTTTTCTGAGGAGGGATGAACTGGCTGCGTGGTTTCCCTGCGAGGTGGGCTGCCTTCTCGCCCTCGACGCCAGGTTTCCTTTCGGTAACAAACGCGAGGTGGGGATCAGAAAAGCGGAGACAGTAGTGGTGTTTGCTGGAGAGAGACGCGCGTCTGAACGCTTTCCTTGTCTGGATGAAAACTTCAGGATGCTGTTCGCAGGGCACCACCTGGGCTGGCCAAGTTGGAATCTATCATATCAGCCCAGACGGGGAAAAAGTTACTAATTTGTATTACTAGGTTTCCAGACATTTTGAGTAAATACTTTCCAAAGCTGGGACTTGGCTTAGAAATCATCACCTATAACTCAAACTACAAAGAAAACGTGTCAGATAGCTTCCTTCACCTGATGGAGAGCCATCATTCAGACTAGTAACTCTGAAGATAATACCTCATTATCGAAGTCAAGCTTTCCGTAAACTTATTATTTTCTAAAGTATTGTCCAATTAAGAAAAAAGAAAATGAAAAAATTCAGCATCTGTCCTGTCAGTAAATTTCTAGTTGGTCTAGTTGATTTTTTTCTAACATCGTCTTAACAGAAAATTATTATTTCAATTATCACATATAAATATATATATATTAAACCTAATTTTAAAACATAAACTTTCAGCACGTTTATATCTTTACTATGCTTTATTTTCTTCCTTACTGCTCATACTATATTTTATAAATGTATACTTTATAATCTGACATACTCACATTGACTTTGAACAAAGAATTCTAAATTCTGTTCTACTTATGGGTTTGAAGAACCAACGGCTTTTAAAAATATCTCAAAGCATACGAATGCATGGAACATTTCAAGCTTTGTTTTACATTTTTTGAAAACATAAACACATCTGACATGTGTTTTCATATGGACATAAGAACTTAACATACTCCCAAAATGTTCCTAAGTAAATTAGGCAGAAAATGGTTCAATGATCTGGGCCAAGCAATGCCTTTTATGGATTTGCCAAAGGAAACAATTTCCATTATCTCTACAGAGAAATATTTTTAAAGTTTCTGAAGTATAGTTTTCATTTGTTTATATTAAATTAAATAAGCTTTTGAATCCTAACAAATCCCATTTATATTATAAATCCTAACAAATCATATTATAGTAAATCTTAGGGAGACAACTTTGTCACAAAAATCCTTTCAGTGATTTATAAAAGAAGTATCTTGCTATTACTGTGGAACATATCAATATGATTAATCTTATGCTTGAAATGTTGTTGACTTTATATACAATGTTTATTTCAAAGCAGAACTTAACATTTTGCACTTGACTGCAGGAGCTATCAGTAAATATATTTGATATATTGACAACTATTATTTGGGAAGCCAGTTCTGTTTGAATTTTTAACTCATCATTAATTTGTGTCACTCACAGTGACACTTGGTTCAATAACAGTGCCTATGAACACATGATTATTTCATTTGACTACAGATTTTCTCTTCAATTAATTTAACTCAAGGACAGCAGGTACCACCGCAATGCTTTATTTTCATCCACTTAATTCATTTCATCCACTTAATTGACCTACAACCTCTTCTTACATCACACCTCGTACCACAGTTGTTTGAATACATCTGTATCCCAGATTGCACACTCCCCACTTAGGGCAACAACCAGCAGATTTAGGGGGCTACTCAATGCCAAGCACAGTGTCTAGTACCTCTTATATTACAGAATAAAAGTAGACACAATATGAGTGATTAAATCATTCACTTTTGAGATAACTTTATAAATTTATCCTAATTGGTGTACCTTTTATTATTCTAATAGGTGTACTCTTTATTATCCAAGTGTACCCAAAGCCATTCACATAGTAGATTCTTGGTCAATAAATGAAAACATAGTCACTTAACTTTTTTGACTTAATGAACACCTAATTGAGAGTACTTCCACTGAAATTATTAGAATACTAAAAATCATTTGGGAAAAAGACTAAAAGATATGAACGTACTTATCAGTATTATAATTAGGTGGCAGAATAATTGTATTAATTTCATAATTTTTATACTGTGTTAAAAGGTAGTGGATGAGGTTGTGTGTGCATTAGTATACTTTTGCCTGCCATGCACTCTTCTAAGCCTTTCATACCCACTAACTCACTTGAATCTCACAATAATCCTATCAGAGTAATAGCACTAGTAATATCCTTTTCTGCAGAGGAAGGGAGTGAGGCTTCAAGAGATTTATAACCTGCCGATGACCACAAGTGGTGGGACTGACTTTGATGCAGGTCGACTTGCTTCCAAAGCCTGCATCCTCCAAACACATGAAAGATTCTGCTTATTGTACAGATATTTCCAAAGAGGTATTTTGTGCCATCCAACTCATCACCAGGTCCTATTGATGCTAACTCTTCCAGATCTACCACTTTCCTCTTTTTCTTCCACTGTCCTCACTCAAGATTTCATAAGTTGAAACCTAGCTGTTGTCTCCCTTCTCAATTCACCATGCATGGTTGATTCTATCTTTCCCATTTTTAAAAGTCCTTCAGTGGCATCCCCAGTTTATAGAGAATAAAAGGTGTGGTTATTAGCATGACATTCATGGCTTTCACCCTCTCTCTCAGCTCAAGTGTCCAACTTCATTTCCTCCCTCTCTTCTCTCTCCTTTCTTCCTCTCACTCCATAAATATGTAGTGGGGCCCATACTCTGGACCGCTTATGATTTCTCTAACATGGCTTTGCTCTTGCTATCATTTTTCTCCAGAATGCTCTTCCCCACCCATTGCACGATCCTCTGTGCCTCTGGAAACGCATTCAAATATCCCTCCTCCAGCCTGATTCTGGTAGCCGTCATTTCATCCACTTAATTGCTGTAGCTCTTGACTTACATATCCTTACATTATTCCTTGTACCATGGTTGTTTGAATACACCTGTATCCAACAGATTGCATGCCCCCCTCTTGGCAACCACCAGCAAATTTGGGGGGGGGGGCTCTTCAGTGCTAAGCATTGTCTAGTACCTCATATATGTTACAGAATAAAAATAGACACAATATGAGTCATTAAATTGTTCACTTTTGAGATAACTTTATTTTCCTAGTAGGTGCAAGTTGTGTTCTCAGAAATATCCCACAGTAAATAGAAAGGAAAACTTTTATTGTTCATTGATTTGTTTTATGTAAGTTCTTAAGCATACAAAGAATTAAAACACCAGTGCCTGTACTGAACACCAGAATAAGTCCCATGAATGAGATATGGTCCTCAAGGCAATCAGTCAATTTTTAACCTACAAGCAATGCCTTCCCTTCCCTTCCTCACACTCTACAAAAGCAGATGATAGCAATGCTACTTAGACAGTGGTCCTCTGCTCCACCCTCTGCTGGGGAGCTCAGTTTACAAAGTAACTCTCTCTATCAGTTGAAATTACAATTCACAAAATTAGGACAATGGGTCCCCACCCAATAATTGTTTATCATCCAATTAATCAGCCAGGTAAAACTCTGTGTCATAAAAAACATTAGAAGTAAGATAAATCAGGGCTTTCCTGATGGCTCAGATGATAAATAAAATACCAGACAATCTCAAAAAAATTTTTGAGCAATTGGTTTTGATCCAATTTGTAGGAAACTAGTTTCTAGGCAAGGGTGCTCTTTACTTGGTGCAATGTGAATTTAAGTTGCAAATGTTTAGTGTGGGGGAGGGCATTGTTACTGCAAACATTATATACAGCTGGCCTAGGTATTTCACAGAAGTTTAAGGTTCACATCTCTAAGTGAGCAGTTTTTCTTTTTCTGGCAAAAGTTTCTAAGGAATCTCTCTCTGTCTTAAATGTTTGGACCACCCAGAAGGTGGATCTATTATCACAGCCAAGTTACAGACAGTTTGTTTTCACAAATGGTCCATTTTGGAATAAAGCACAGACTTCTTTTGTGTACATGATGTAAAACGACTGTATACATCTCCTGCCAGTATGTCCCTTCCCACTCACTCCCTCTTCCCTCCTTTGTATACCGAGCACACCCAGGATTGAGATCACTGTGACTGAGAATGCTGTATATGGACCCAGGTACCAACACAGAAAACGTTAGGTTTTAACACGGGATATTACTTTAATATAAACTATATAATTTGAAGTTTTAGAAAGAAATGTTTACAGTTGAATGCGGTCTTGTGCCACGTAGCCCTTGGTATCCTTGAGGAATTGTTTCCAGGACTCCACCGCTCTTTCTCCCCAATTCCCATCACCCCTAAAGGATACCAAAACCCCAGGATGATCAAGTTTTTATATAAAATAGTATTTGCACATAACCTAGGTACATCCTCCTGTATAGTTTAAATCATCTCTAGGTTACTTATAATACCTAACGCGATGTAAATACTTTGTAAGTAGTTGCCAGCCTGTGGCAAATTCAGGTTTTATTTTTTGGAACTTTTTAGAATTCTTTTTCAAAGATTTTCAACCCTTGGTTGGTTGAATCCTGGATGCAGAACCCATGAATTCTGAGAAGTGACTGTATTTAATTTTGTTCTAACAGAGACGTGTCTACATCTAAGCACTAAGTTCATCTGTTCCTGACATTCATACATCCCGCAAGTATCTATCAGGTGCAGAATGTATTGTTTGTGTAAAGCCCTGTGGGGGATACAGTTATAACTTAATGAGTTTCTACCCCTCTGAGAAGTTCATGTATCAGAAGAGACATGTACACAAACTACCATGATACAACTTGTCCAGGATTCCATGAAAGAAGTATGACCAAAGAGATAGGAGGAGTCAGAGAAGAGAGTACCTGCAGGAGTGGCATTGTGGGATAGTGGAGGAGCTTGAGCTACAGAGTTAGACAGACTCGTGAGGAATTTCAAATTTTCATTGGATATGGACCCTAAGCACATTTCTTATACTTTCTGAGTATTCATTTTCTTATCTTAAAAAAGACGAAGACCAATAGTATAACAATGCTATAATATATAATACAATTATATATTATATATAATACAATTATAATAATTATATAATATAATATATAATAGTATAACACAGTTCTCAAACGTGACTGCACATTAAACTCGTTCAGATAACTTTTGAAAATATCCATGACCAGTTGCTACTTGCAGAGATTCTGATTGAACTAGAAATGTAGATTGCAGTCAGATGCTGTGGAGGGCTTTCAGGCATTGGAGTTTATTTGTAGGCAGTGGAGAACAACTGGACAACAGGATTTCTCACTATTTAGATCCACACCCCTTCAGTATACACTTGTCTTGCTCCATAACTGTTCCAGTCATTTTTGTTCTTAACACAAAAATCCCATCAGGGCCAAGGACTTCCTTCATGTCTCCCACAGTTAACAGGAGCTTATAGATGGTTTACCTGTGATTTAAATTAGTTTGTTTGTTTTTTTCCCAAACAGACCCAAGTAATATATTGATGTGAAAAATAGGAGTCATCTGAAGGACTTGTTAAAAGCACAGATTCCCTAGTTCCTCTGCTAGAGCTTCTGCTTCATGATTCTAGGCTTCTGAATTGGACTGGAATCTTTATGTTGAGCAAAGACCCCCCGCCTCCCCCCGACCCAGTGATTCTTCTAATCAGACAAGTTTGAAACCATGTGTTCAGTGACTGGCGGCAGTACTGTTTCCAATGATCTCTTGAATGCTTTTGACTTTTGAGATATTAACAAAACTGAATAATAATCCATTGAAAACCTCTTTGCCTCATTTTACCTCTCTCTCCTCCTAGTTTGGGAAAACGTTAAACTATAAGCAGTAATATAAATGAAATGCAAAGTAATAATGTAAAGTGACGCTGGGAAATAATAGATTCTTGTGATTAAACAGATCATTTAACTTCCGAAAACCAGTGACCAAGTGACCGATTTAGTGGTAACTTGCTGATCACTAGCCTCACTGAACTTGAGACCCAGGAAGAAGGGAAGATCCTGTTTTTTCCTTCTCTCTTGTTCATCCTTCGACATACTTTTTTTCTTTCTTATCAACTCTCACCTTGGAGGTCCCAAAAATCAATGTCCAGGTTGAATGCAAAGTCAGACTCTGGTTGTGACATCACTATGAGCCACCTTTCCTATGTGACCTAATGAAACAGCTGGTGACGCAGCTCCCACCTTAATGAGAAGCCATAGGTTCCTTAGTCACTTTACCTCCTCCGGTGGAAAAAAAGCAGCCTCCTTTGTCCAGCCTGTCTTAGAGCTGTAATGATAGAGTTATTAGAAAGAGTTTTTTAAATGTAATATTTGAGGTAAGTATAAGATAATTATTAACTTCCATATTAACATTGGTAATTACATTTACTAATGCATGTGTACTAAGTCACTTCAGTCATGTCTGACTCCATGCGACCCCATGGACTGCAGCCCACCAGGCTCCTCTGTCCATGGGATTCTCCAGACAGGAATACTGGAGTGCATTGCCATGCCCTACTCCGGGGATATCCCTCCCCAGGGATCGAACCCTTGTCTCCTGCAGCTCCTGCACTGCACGCTGATTCTTTACTGAGCCACTGGAGAAGCCCACGTTTAGTAATATTCAGTATCAGCACACCAGATGTCTCTGTTTAAAATGTATATAGACAGATATATACCAACCCTACCCTCAGATGTTTACACTCACTGGAACCAGAGTTAAGAAATAATGTTAGGCTTTTCTAAACCAATATTGAGTATTATATGTAAACCAAATTTAAGTATATTAGAAAAGCTAGGTGAGTCTTTAAAAGCAAACACATTGAGCCATGCTTTCTCATGTTTTAACTCAAAGAAAAGTGTTCTGGTCTTAGAAGTTTAAAAATAGACTGTACTGATTTTCATGAACTATAGCTACAGAAAATTAAAAGTTTGAGGTTATTTTTATCTCTACAAGCCACACTGGGGATGGAAACTCTTATTCTTCTAACAGTTGTGTTCTGGGAGAATTTCTAAATGGAAAAATGGCATGCCTCCCAAAAGTTGAGATGTAATAATCTCCAGTTGTCTTCACCCAGGGCCCCATTATCTGTCCCTACTGGAAAATAATCATGATTGCTACAGTGAGATGATCAGAGGCATGAACTGAGTACAATAAACATTTTATTGATGAGACTGAAGATCTAGGATGCATGAGAATTTGCTATTTTCTTTTTATGAATATAAATTTATATGAATTATTCATTTATACAGGGCTTCCCTCATAGCTCAGTTGGTAAAGAATCGGCCTCCAATGCAGGATACCCTGGTTCAATTCCTGGGTTGGGAAGATCCACTGGAGAAGGGAAAGGCTACCTACTCCGGTATTCTCGGGCTTCCCTTATAGCTCAGCTGGGAAAGAATCCTCCTGCAATGTGGGAGACCTGGGTTCAATCCCTGGGTTGGGACAATCCCCTGGAGAAGGGAAAAGCTACCTACTCCAGTATTCTGGGCTGGAGAATTCCATGGACTGTATAGTCCATGGGATTGCAAAGAGTCGGACATGACTGAGTGACTTTCACTTCACTTCATTCAATTATGTGAATCTTGGATCTCTCTTAGAGCCATGAAGTTAAATTAAATCGATGACTAGATGAAGCAAGTGGAGAAAAAATGACTTAATGACAGATCGTCAGTTAAACATTAGGAATGATCTAATTTATTCCTGGAGCAATTTGAGGTTTAAGTCAAGTTCCACATATTATCCAGGCTTCCTGCATAGCTCAGCTGGTAAAGAATCTGCCTGCAAAGCTGGTGACCTGGGTTTGATTCCTGGGTAGGGAAAACACCTGGAAAAGGAAATGGCAACCCACTCTAGTATTATTGCTTGGAGAATCCCATGGACAGAAGAGCCTGGCAGGCTACAGTCCATAAGGTCACAAGAGTCGGACATGACTCAGTGCTATCTTTCTTTTCTTTCTTTCCACATGTTATCCTGCTCTAACCAGTGGGAACTTGCAAAAGGAGCAATAACAGATTGACATTAATAGCTGTCATCTTTGGGTATGTGAGGACTAGTTCTTTTTGTTTCATAAGCTCTGATTAAATGTCCATTTCATTCATCTTTCAAGTAATTATTCATCAATTCGGAACACTGAGTATACACTGGGAAGCATTAGGAGTATACATAGTATTGTAGATATCCTCAAGAACTTGAGGGTGGGAAGACACAATACAAGAGTAAATAAACATGCAAGTACAAGTTGTTCATAAAGGGAAAGAATGGGGCGTCACAGTGGATAACGATGGAGAGGGGCTGGAGACACTCTCCAGAGGTCTGGGGAGGTCTCTTCATGATGTTTAAGCCTAAACCAAAAGGATGAGAAGGAGCAACAGGGTGACAAGCATGTGGAGCATTTCAGAAAGAAAGAACAGTGCGTGAGAGCCCAGAGAGGGTGCAAGCTTGGCCTATCCGAAGAGCTCAAAGGAAATCTGACTGGCTGTAGGGCAGTGGATGAAGAGGAGCAGGACGTTGTGAGATCACACTAGCGAAGTAGCTCAGTGACACCAAGTGAGGACTATTAGTTGTCGATTGGATTTACCCAGAAAAGTCGGAAGTGGGTATAGCAATCAAAAGAATCATTATACTTGCTCCTTGGAAGAATAGCTATGGCGGTGTAATCAGTGGTACAGTTTAATTGAAAGCTGCCATCTTGTTAGTTGTTTTCTACTTATTCCATCTAGTCTTCGTTTATGGAGAAGAGACTGTAAGTGGATACAAACTTCTCTTGTGTCTGTAGTTCCCAGGGGTTCTAGACTCTCTAACTCATACTTGGCCTTTAGCAATTTGTTCACAGTTTTAGCTAAATTCTTCTCAACAGCTCGTACACTTGGCCCCATCTTCCTTCGTGCTCTGGTACAAGTAAGCCCATGCTTACATCTCGTCTTTCCTCGGAGACTCCCATCTTTCCTTAGATTCCAAGCCAGTTTGTTGCCCTGCAACTTCAGTTCTCTGAAGAGTCTGTGAAAAGATTTTTGCATATTATCTGGCTTCTTGTTAATACAAGAGTGATTCTCTTTCCAGCTTTCTATATCCCATCCAAGTGCATTATAGGGATGCTAAAGCTGTTTCAATTCAAATATAAAAGCACCCCAAATATATTAATAGTAAAGTTATATTCCCAAATAGAGAGTTGGGGTTGACCAAAGACTCTAAGAAAGCAAATTTTTATTTAAAGCAAAAATATGATTCAAACTGGGAGTCATGGAAGATGTTTTCAAAGAGAATTAGAAATGTCATGATGGAGAAAATGTGGTTACTAAGAAATAGAATTATCTCACATAACAGGAAAATAGAATACAATTGGCCAATTAAGAGTTAAGCGAGATATAATATTTTCTGCAGGGGACTTCCCAGGTGGCTCAGTGGTAAAGAATCCACCTGCCAATGCAGGATCTGCAGGAGACTCAGGTTTGATTCCTGGGTCTGGAAGATCCCCTGGAGGAGGAAATGGCAACCTACTCCAGTATTCTTGCCTGGGAAACCCCATGGGTAGAGGAGCCTAGCGGGCTGCAGTCCATGGGGTCGCAAAGAGTCAGACAGGACTGAGCAGCTGAGCACAATATTTCCTGCCCAGTGAAGCATTTAGAATGTTACCAAGGTGAAGTACAAATGTCAGGCACAAAACTCAAGATGCCACAGGGTGTGGATTTTTAGCTATGCGGTGATTTCTTCCAGATCACTCCAGGAAGCAAGGCGGCAGCTGCCAACCTGTGTCCTGGAGATGTCATCCTGGCTATTGATGGCTTCGGGACAGAGTCCATGACTCATGCTGATGCACAGGACAGGATTAAGGCAGCAGGACACCAGCTCTGTCTCAAAATTGACAGGTGATCTTTAATTAATGGTGGTAAAATTTGATCTGTTTTGCAGGAGAACCTGAACCAGAATGATAAATGACTTCATCCTCCCAGTCAGGAAGGCTATTGCAGGACCCAGAATTTTAACTGGCTTTTTTGTATGTTGGCCACTTTGGTCTGTCCTTCACTGAAGTCAATCTGGTAGCTGTTAACAAAGGATTTCTAAAAAGAATTCTCTGGAATGTCAGAATAATGAAAGAGGCTAAAATAATTTTTTTTTCCTTCACTAACCCAGTTGGACAACCGAGAAAATAGTACTGGCCACATAAACACTGAACAGCATGTCTAGCTACACTGCTGTTCTAAACATGGTAGAGAATGGAATGAAATTTCCAAAAAGAATCTCCTGCTTGCCAAAATGTGATCCTATTAAAATCTGGTTGCTAGTGTCCTATATGCTGTTTTCTGTTTTGTACTGAATGCAGCCCAGAAGAGTCTCACAAGGTATGAGAGGACATGGGCATATAAGGGTTTTTAGACAATGAGACATTTCTGATCAAAAACAATATTAGGAAATTGAACCTGATCTTTTGCCATCAGACCCGAGATCTGGAACTGAATTGTGAAAAGAATGATTTGTTGCCCTGATTAGCATGTGTGTTTATCCTGCTGCTGTTGTATCCACAGTTTTCCCTGCTGTGGTCTAGAGGACACAGTCCATCAGCCAGTCTGCCATTTCATGGGGTGAAACTGACTTTGTCCCTGTCTCTGCATCACCTGTGTTCCTGCCAAGCACATAGTTCTGTAGAAGCTACACGACCCCGAGTAGATACATGAGAAGAATTGGATGGAGCTCATTTCCTTGATGCCAGCAGCAAATCCACCTGGCACATCATTCACTGCCTCCTGTAGTGCCCTATATAGGACAGGAGGGAGGTTGAGGAGATCCAGGGGGATTGCCCTGTGGTCATCTGCAGGGCAGGTTGCCAGGATCTCCCTCTCCTGTATGCTTCCCTCATGCACGGCAGACTCACTTTCTCCAGAAACTCTACAGTGTCCTTGTCTTAGTTCAAGTTGCTACAATCGAATAACATAGACTGGTTGGCCTAAGCAACAAATATTTATTTCTCACGGTTATGGAGGCTGGAAATTCAACATCAGGGAGCTAGCATGGTTGGATTTTTGGGGTTCACAAATGCAGGAAATTAAAGTGTATTAAAACTAGAAGTCCCATTAGAATTTGGGTTTACGAATTTTATTTTCATTTACAGGGCGGAAGCTCGCTTATGGTCTCCACAGGTAACTGAAGATGGAAAGGCTCATCCTTTCAAAATCAACTTAGAATCAGAACCACAGGTATGAATTTTGGAGTTAAATGATGTTTACATTATGAAGAGAAGTATTCTTAGGTAAATATCTTATTAAAAGACAAACATGTTTTCATTAGGGAAAAAGAGGCTATATCGATGTACAGTCTGCTTATTTTTTCATTTTTCATGATGGATATCTGCCAAATGACCGTGAGGTAACCCAAGAAATTTAAGATGTTAAAACAAAGCAAAACAAAAATAGGGTCGACCATTTGAAACAGGTGTCTCTAATCTAATAGTTACTGTGACCTTCAATTCCTCAAGGTCTTCACCCAACTCTTAGGTTACATCCTTCTTTAATTATCAGCTCAGGCATTCTATAATTAAGTTTACTCTAGGAAGAGAGTTTTGCATTATGTAATCACAATGATATTCTGCCTATGCAGCTGAATTACAAAAGATAAAGGATTTTCCCTTCAGGCAACTCTAATGAGCTAAATTAATCTAATAATATGATGCTTAGCTGACTGTCTACTTTCAAAATCTCAAAAAAACAAAACCCTGAAATTAAACTTACCCCCAGTTGTGCTGTGTGGACAGCGTAATCAAGAAAAGGAAACTCCGCTTGGTTAGATGCGCCCCACATTTAGAGAGACAGACAGACATAATTTGAATATTCCCTTTTAAACAAGTATCACTACTAAACTGATTATATCTAATGAAAATGAACTGAAAATATGTTTATAATTTATACTTCAGCAAGGTTTCCATTTTCAGGATCATCAACTCCTGAATTTGTCCCTCATGTTTTCCACTTGGGGGCCTAAGCCCCCATTCATTTTATTCTTGGTAAAATACATGGAGAGTACATATTACATGTGTCTCATAGGGCTTCTAAAGATTGAAATAAAATAAGATAGGACAATAACTTGGCATATCGAATTGCTCTTAGAGATATTCAGTTAAGTGGGCGCTCTCATTATTACTGGGTGTGTCACCCCCTCCTGCCAGGCTGCAATCAGGTCTCCTGGCCTTTCCTGACAGTGAGATAGGAGGCTGCCTATGTGACAGAGGCTGATGGTGGCTTAGCCTGGCGTCAGAGGTGGGTGGGTGAATAACACCTGTCGTCAACATCTTCTTTGATAGAAGAAAAGGTTGGAAGAAGGAATGAGAGCAAAGTCCTCCAGGCAGAGCAGTCACTTGTGGACAGCCCTTGGCAGTAATGCCCAAACCCACCTGCTTCCTCCAACCCTCATCAACTCATCACTTAGAGGCAACACAGGAAAACAGAGTATGTGGTGCTTTAAAAAACAAAAACAAACAAACAAACAAACAAAAAAGGAAATTTAAGGCTCATGTACATGCATATATCGACACCCCCATCTCCTATTATCCCTAGGACAAACTGGATAGAATTCTGAATTTCCTTGATCCATGTAGAGGACATGTCGAAAATTGTACAGCACCCTTTTGCACATTTCTATTCAAAATTTCTCCTAAATTTTTAAACCCAATTTCATCAATACTAAAATAAGGGACCAACTACACATGTTTGACTGAAGTACCAAATCCCCAGTGATCCCTGATCATGTTGGAGCGCCCACTCAGGCACATGGATGATTCGGCAAGTATGGATTTTATTAAGCACAGGGTAAGCTGAGAGCTTGCTTCGAGCCTGTGTTTCTCTATCATCTCCCCAGAATTGGTGCTTGTCTGACCTTTATTCTTCATTGCAGATCCATGAGTTTTAATTTATGACTATGGTTATTAGAAGACTTAATTTTAAAAGATAATCAAAATGTTAAATACTCTGGCCTCTTGTCAATCATTTGTTAGCACATGTGTCCTGCATTTTGGGGTCAGACAATATAAATATTTATGATACTACACATGGGGAAAAGATAAAGAATGAGATAGTTTTTATTAAAAAAAAAAAAAAGGTGAAGACTGAGTTAAGGGCTACAGAAGTCAGTCAGATGGAGCCTTTGAACATTCCATTAGACTGAGTCATGACTAACTTCTTACTTGCACCCTCTCTCTAAGAGGCTGGTGTTTGAAGGGCTCAGAGATAAGGACCATTTCTGTTCTTCCCCTAAAGGACCAAAATATTCCTACTCCTTATGACCCTCAGCCAGATTTCTGCATAACTTGGCACTTCAGGAAAGACCTTCCCTACAAAATATAGCTAAATTTCAGCATAACCTCTGCTATCTGAAAATTCCATAGCACAAACTGGAACAAAATGTAGCAATAAATATCAAACAGTGAACTTAACTTGTAGACTGAGACTGAAGAACTGGCTAAACTGTGCTTATGTTTGTATTCTTTTTTTTTAATTAACACAAAGCTATGCAAAGAAATATCTTGCAAACAGATATCTTTTATTTACCCAAATGAGAACTCTACAAATAAAGCAACCCCTTCTGAACAACAAAGGTGTGTCAGTCTGAAAAACAAGTGCCAGTAAGTCTTTAAAATGCCATTGTATATGAATGGTAAAAAGTTGCGTTTGAGTGATATAATAGTTGAGTTCTTGTTTCTCAACCCAAGTCAAACTTCTGTTGTAAGTTATGTGACCTTTGCTATTGAACTAAAACACTGTTTTTCATTTTAAAGGCAATATATATTAACTGGGGGTGGCGGGGGGGGGGGTGGGGAACCATGACACCCTACCATGCAAGTGCAGCCACAAATAATAAAATGTTAGTGTATTTTTTTTTCCAGCTTTTTCCCCTAGGAATAGGCTTAAGCTTTGGGAACTTTTTCTTACACAGTTATAGTAATAAATTATACTAAATTTTAACATCTAGATTTTTTTCATTTTTCCATGCTATTATTAAATAGCTAAATTTTGATTTTATGAATTTAGACTCCAATCTTAGGCTTAAAAGAAACCTTAGAGGTTGTTTAGATCAACCCCTGGCCAGTGGATAAACTCCTTCTAGACAATCCTGAACATGCCTATAAGCAGATGGGTGCATTTTTCTATATAAAGCATAGAAAAAGACAAAAGGTATGTGTTAGAGTTCTTTGTCCTTCTTCAAAGGTTACATTCTTCAATAAGGCATTACCCTCATCTTTGTTTAATATTAGCTGAACTATTCCAAATTATAATGTAGTTATCACAAGACAGGAAAGATGCTTTTCAGAAATAAAAATGCTGTTTTCTAAATGAGAAAAGACTGCATCCTTTCCATAAAACGTTTGACAATAAAAACATACTATCTGCAAAGTCAAGTAGGGTACAGAAGCAGGCTTGAAGTAGGCTTGAAGCTGTCATATTTTCATGAAATAACTTTATTCTGCAATGTTTTCATAACTGGACGGCAGCCTGCCCAAAGCAAGTTTTCATAAAATCCTCATTTCCCCAAACTCCTCCCCACTGACTTACGGGAGAACACTTGAAACAGATCACTGAAGTAAAAATATGAGTGGTTTTGTTTTTCATTTAAAGGGTGAGCATGAGGATGGGACAGGGATTGTTGATCAATTTCAACCATGATAAAATATAATCATTTACTAAGTGTACCTTGATTTGAGCACTTGATATTGTTTGTTTCCTAATTTTGCCACCGTTTTTTCTTATAAGTAGCTCTGCATACTGTCACACATGTATCAGACATGTTGTGTCAAAGTTGGTTATTGCCTCAGTTCTCAGACCAAATATTTATTCAAGTAAGAAACGGAAAGGTGAACTCTCTTTGAATGACAACATCTCTGAGGTCATTTCAAGGACTGGGGAGATTGCAGACAAGAGCTGCATTCTCCCAGTGTCAGCAGATCTGTCAAGTTACTTAGCTTTAACTCTGGCAGCTCTAGCATTTCATTAATTCAAAATATTATTCTTTAATATGAGATCCTACCATTTAAAAATAATATTGAAAAATCTGATTAATCACAATAATTACTTATTGAGTTCCTAAGAGATAAGAATCATTTATATGCTTTTGCCTGGGTAGAAGAAACACAAGAGCTGGACTATATTAACTGCTAGATAAAATTTTTACAGTATTCTTCCATTACTAATGATTTTCCAGGAAAATATAAAAAGGAATTAAAGTAGAATAGCAAGCTTCTAATTGGTCTTGTCTTTTGATTCTGTTTGACCATCAACAGTGATGTAAGACTTAGATGGAATGTTGCCTCTCTGTGCCATATTTAAATTTTTTGTTTACCTTTAGTGTATACACTTCATTGTGCTTTTTTGGAATGACTCTAGCAGCCCATAAACTAATGCTTTGCAAAGCCTGAATGCAAATGTTTGAAGCCTGTATTAGAAACACTTCATTTTAGGATCTGAGTAAAAAAAAAGAGGGTTTTATTGTTTCATTTTAACAAATTACACTTTTGCGACATTTGCAATATATAACTAAAACCGAAAATGGCAAAAAAAAAGGTTGGAGCTAATTAACTTATGTGCTACTTTTTGAAGTACTACTAGGGGCTATTATTGCACAAATATTTTCAGAGAAGATGCCTCATTTATAGGACAATTGCCATCCATGTTTGTTTATCATTTTAAGACTAAGAAGAAATAAGGGTAGAGATTTTTTTTCCTCATAAAGCCATCACATTATGTTACCTAATTTTTGTAAAATCAGTATTACATACCAAGATCTTTCAGGCATATCACTCTCACTTAAAAAAAAAAAAAGCTAAATTCCACAAAGCTTGAGTCTTCAGTACTTCTTTATACACTCTTTTAATTAACCTGCAAGATTTACAATACACCAAAACTAAATTAGGCAATTAGCCTTCTGTCTTCTTTCATATCCAAAGTAACAAAGCCTTGAATCATGTCCATTGTCATTATTTACAATTATTTCCCATTTACTTTTTTTCATGACATAATAACAGCTAATCATAATGGTTAATCATAAAACACAGCCAATCCAAATTCATTATTAAATCAGTCAAAGCAATCAGATGGTACCACTATATTAATCTTTGCACACATTTTCACATGTTCTGGGATTCAGCACTTTTCTAAAGCCATATTTGATTGTTTCAATCATGCTGCTCTCTAAATCAGCAACTACAGTGTCACTCAACCAACCCCTAGGCAGTGAGCCATTATTCTGGAGATTAAAGATTGAATCAATAAGATATGAGTCAAGTCAATCATACTATAGAATCACAGACCTTCTTTTCAAGTTCAGGAGGCTATTAAAATATGCTGTCCCCAAAGTAGTTGAGAGAAAAGCTCCTATTCACCACATTACAGATTTTCAGGTACCATGAGACTTGGGGCAGTTGGAGTCAAAGACTCTGTTAGGGCTAGTATTTGAAGCTGCACCCCATTTGCCTTGTCATAGCTACTTTGTAAGTGGGCTTTTTCCAATAGGCCTAAATGGGAGAACAGGGAGTGTATGTGATGACTGCCTGCTCAAGAGAACCAAGAAGAAGCATTGTTCTGGTTGGGTCCCTAAAGTAAGTTGTTGGCATTCCCTGAAATTCACGCAAAACTGTGGTTGCACCCCCTAAGAAAGGAACACAAGCTTTTTTCTAAAAAGCACACTCCCACACCTTACTCATCTATAATCGGAAGGGAAAAATGACACAAATAAGAATATTACTAGATGTTTTTAGTTTTTAAATCAAAATAGTCTCCATTAACATTTCAAGTAATCATAAATGTTTGTACTATTTGAGATCTCTGTGAAACACTGGCGGTGAAGTCACAAAAGGAAAGGAGGTTGATGTGAATGTGTGAGTGAAAATAATGTAAAGACTGATCTTAACTAATTCTGCCAAATGAGAAGGTTTGAAAGAGAATCAGCTTGTTTGTATTTTAGCATTTGTTTTTGGTTTTCTTCTGTTGCTTTGAAGAAGAAAAAGTTTAATGACTTGACAAAATTATCAATCTGTATAAAAATTGGAAAACTTGATTCCTGCATTGAAAGATAATAACAGAGTTTCAGATCATTCAGGCATGTTTCAAACTCAAGAGTTTTGGATTGAAATTTGTTCCTTTTCCCTGAGCAATAAAGTAAAAATGCTTCTGTAAATCACCTACATTCACTGTCTTTGAATTGCTGACTTAAGTCTTTCTTCAACTAGAGTAAACATGAACCCACAACATGAAATCAGCACAATAAAAAGGGAGAGTTTTCTATAATGTTTTTCCTGCTTTCATAATGAAAGTCCTTTAATTTCTATCATTTTTTCAAATTAAAGGTTATATCTTAATGCAAATTAAGAATTTTGTTTGTTGTAGGAATTAAGAAAAAAGAGAAAAAAAGACTTGATTAATTAAAACGATGCAGGACAATTATTCATAAATGCTCACTCCCTTTCTGATTGCATTAGTCTTCCATTTCCTAAAATGGTGGAAATGTTAAGAGAAATCTTATCTAAGTTCTACTTGAGAAAGTGTTATGTAGAATCATTTTTCTAAGCCCCAAATCTCACTTTTGAGACAAAATTTCTGGATTGAAATGAGTCTTATGAGACTTTCTTAGATGAAGTCAGTAGCAAGCAGACAAATGGTTCAATATTTGCATTATTTTATACTTCAAATAATATCAGTTTCTTTGCACCTTAACACATGGTGACGTTCACAGCACATATGAAGCTCATGGCAAGTGTAGTCCTCCTTTAACCCTGCCGTTAACCTCGTAGTGGATGAAGAAGCCTTGATTAACAAGAGCAATGCTGTTGGTTTGTGTGCTAATGGCTTTGTTGTGCGTTCTGTGGTTTTGTGTATTCTGTCTGCCATTGTACAGGAGTTCAAACCCATTGGTGCCGCGCATAACAGAAGGGCCCAGCCTTTTGTTGCAGCAGCAAACATTGATGACAAAAGACAGGTAGTGAGTGCTTCCTATAACTCACCCATTGGGCTCTATTCAACCAGCAATATACAAGATGCGCTTCATGGGCAGCTGCGGGGGCTCATTCCTAGTTCACCTCAAAAGTAAGTATTCCACTTGGTCTCTGGCTGCCGTGTTCTCAGTGGTGATCGTAAGGCCTCTTTTCCTTTCGAAAGTCCAGCTCTTGCTGTTTGATTTTTACTTTCCTGAAGGCATGGATCAGATTTTTCTTTTCAAGACAAGCATCTAGAACATGGTTCTAGGGTCCAGTCTGCCAGTTCCCAAACATTTAGTGAATAGACGGTTGAGAGGAAGAAATCGCTCTGGCTCCATCATCACCCTTCTTAGTCATGTCGATATCTGGTGATAAATAATCCTTTCTGTACAATTATTGAGCATTTAATTTTGTCTAAAATATATATCTATCTGTTAATCCTCCACTGAGGGGCTTTGTAACCCTTTGTTTTTTACAGGACGTGAACTACTTTGAACACAAACACAATGTTCGGCCCAAACCTTTCATAATCCCAGGCCGAAGCAGGTCATAAGCTTTAAGATGGTGAAGTGTGGAGTGCATGCCTCTTTAATAAATCCTACTAATCACCCAGATACATAACTCCTAGGTGTTTGGAGTGACTTTTCTCTTTTTTGAAGCTTACTGCAAAAGCAAAAGAAACAAATTCTACCTAGCGGAGACCAGCAGCCAACTAACCTCCATTTCTGAGAGTAAATGTTGACAAGATTGTAGAGCTGCAAAATATTATGCAATCGCTGTGTGTATTTATAACTGATACCCCTGCTGCTCTGAGAATCCCATCCAGAACACAGTGACCTTTGAGGTTAGCAGACATACCAGGGCAGGATGGCCCAGTCAGCAGGAACAGACATGAAAACCAGCCCCCAGTCAGGAGTAAGGTAGCAGGTGAGGCAAACGTGGAAGGCTGGTGCAGCTTTCTGTGTTTGACGGAATCCATTCATCCCATCTCAGCACCTTGTTTCTCACTGTGTCATCAGAGCCCGCTGGGTCATCCCACTCATTCTAGCTCTTACATAAAAATAAGTTTGCATTCTTATGGATACTTGTGTGGCTTCCCTGGTGCCTCAGCTGGTAAAGAACCTCCCTGCAAGGCAGGAGACCTGGGTTCGGTCCCTGGGTCGGGAAGATCCCCTGGAGAAGGGATAAGCTACCCACCCCACTATTCTTGGTCTTTCCTGATGACTCAGATGGTAATGAGTCTGCCTGCAATGCAGGAGACCTGGGTTCAATCCCTGAGTTGGGAAGATCTCTTGGAGGAGGGAACGGCTACCCACTCCAGTATACTGGCCTGGAGAATTCCATGAACAAAGGAGCCCAGCGGGCTGCAGTCTATGGGGTCACAGAGAGTCGGACACAACTGAGCAACTTTCACACGTGGATACTTGTGTGGCTTCCCTGGTGGCTCAGGTGGTAAAGAACCTTCCTGCAATGCAGGAGACCTGGGATCGACCCCTGGGTTGGCAAGACCCCCCTGGAGAAGGGAATGGCCACCCACTCCAGTATTCTTGCCTGGAGAATTCCATGGACAGAGGAGCCTGGCAGGCCACAGTCCGTGGTGTCGCAGAGTTGGACACAACTGAGAGACTAACACACATACACACGCACATATACATGGATACTTGCAAAGGAAGAGAGGCCACTTGGAATTTTTCCACTTGGGGAAAATAAGTATAAAGAGAGAGTTAGGAGGGAGGGAGTAACTGGGTAACCCTCATGGATAACTGTGCATAGACTGGAATAATAATAAGCAAGATCTCTTCTTGTCTGTCAGAGAAACAGATCATCGTCAGACGATCCTTTTCAAATCTTCTCTAGAAATTAAATTCCAACCTACGAGGAAAGAAATGAATGCCCTGTATTGCCACATCAGGAAACAGTGACTTTAGAAAACCTCAAACCCATTCCTCTGACCTCAGCTCCATCAACCAGCCCAGAGGAAGGAAGTGAGGGTTAGGTTGGATCAACCCTAACAGATCAGTGATCAATAATATACATCAGGTGTCCCAACTGATGGTCCGTAGGTGGAGTCAATTCACAGACAATGTTTTCTTTAACCGTCCCCCACCCCCACCCGTTGTTTAAAAATACGGAATTTAGGTCAGTGCCTTAAGATGGAACATCTACTCTCCAAATCTTGGCAAAATGCCCTTAACTCCCAAGCATATGACACCTGGCCCGTTTTCATATATGTGTGACCCTCCTGGCCCCTGGAGACATCTAAGTTTATGCTGCTTGCCATGGATGGTCAGTCATCACTTGATATATGATTTCCATGTGCAGACCTTTCCATGAGCTAGAGTCAGGGCCAGAAAATGACCTCAAAGTAAGCCAATTTTGTGATATCAGACTCAGAAAGAGGAAATGGAGTAAAAGAGCTGGAGAAAGATGCTATTAATAATAAGGCAATGACTACCAAAGACATCTGACCCCACTAGAATGTAAACATATTATATCTCCACTACCAAGAAATGAGGCTAGGACAGTAAATGCTCAGCAAATGTTCATTAGATAAAGGAACAAAATCTCAAGAGTACCTAATTAGACTTCCTGAGTAGCAAGAAGAATCAGGAGCTGTTATTCCTGTGCATACTGGCAACTTTGAACAATCCTTTTTGGCTTCTTTCAGTTTTTTCCTCCTTCATATTTCATTCTCCTTTACATCCTTCTCTATTTCCCCACATTCAACAGTTTTCCAGCCCCACTCTCAATAACATAAAAAAAACTGGATTAAAGGTTAAAATGCTCTTTTACTATTGAATAAATATATATACATACATCTTCCTAAAGAAGCATAGTAAAACAGATATACTTGCATTCTTTTGAGGTGCATTCTTTTGAGGTTAACATAAATGTAAGCTCACTAACATGAGCTATAGAACTCCTCGAGGCTTGAGTAAAATGATACATTAGAGTAACACAGATCTTGCTTCTGCTAAAGACCAATAACATTTAATAGCAAAATTCAGGGTAAGTCAGAGATTCAGGTACGTAATGCCCTTCTTTTATATTTTCATTTAATCTAAACATGGTGATAATGACAAGCTACTCATAATTTTTTCACTGTAAGGTGCCTTTCAATCTAGCTAAATTTGGAGGAGGGGAGAGGAAAAACAGAGATGAAAGGATTTGCTTAAAAAACAGGTACCAGTAAACAAACCTTAAAAAATTCTAAAAATGCTTCTATTATCCTCCCTGTCTTCCTGTGGCCCATCACTATTTTATCTAGCTTCCGAATTTCTTGTTCTTACCAAATAATTCTTCATCAAGGTGGAATTTTGAGTGGCTACTTACCAAGCAATAACTACACCGTTAATAAACAACTTTTGAATCAGACATAAGTTGGAGATGCTAATATAGTCATCTCCCTGGGTCTTAATACTAGTTAGGGTTCTTTTAATGGTTTCATTGTAACTGACCCATATTAAAAGACCAGTGTTTTCACATGAAAATATGTAAATGTTTAAAGCCAAAACTATCATTAAAAATACATACAAGGCATTTTATAGATCCAAGTGATAAAGTACAATCCGGTTAGTGGTTTTTGGACAAGCTGCTTCCAGAAGCATGTCCCCAAAAGTCCATATACACAGCAGGGAAATGAATTCTGTGTCTAATGATCTATCCAGTTGTATGATAGTAATTGAGTGTATCATCAGCCTTACAGGTTGCCAAGTCAATAGCTCGATGTCATGAAATTTCAGCAGTGTCTACCTTTCCAAGTCACAGGAATAGGTCATGCTGACCCATGAGCATCTCCACAGTGACTGGAGTCCATGAAAATTCTTTTTTAAGCATCAGTTCAAGAGCTTGTTTAAAATTATTTCAGAAATGTATGAAAAGATAATTGTCATTTGCTTAGGTTTTATTTCCTATGTGAATAGATTGACACGGGCCCTTAAATAGAATGATTAAGAAACTAGGAAATAGAAGACACAATCTCTGCTTAAACAAAATTATATACATAGACATGCATGTATATAAGAACACTCTTAAGAGGGGAAAAATAATATTAATTACAACTATAAAATAAGTTCTATCTGTAAGCTCCAAGTTAGCCATAGTTTACATCTCCACTGTGTAGCACCATGCCTGGCACACAGTAGGATCAGAGTAGTTATAAAATGCTTGTAGAAAAGGTTCACTATTTTAAGCCCCAATCTCCCAGTATTGAAATTCAGTGTCTCAAATCCCTAAACTACAATTTAATAAACTTCATTATACTGAGGTCAAATCAATATGATCCTGACTGAACTGCAATTTAACTGAAATTTCATTTCTACTCTTTTACCAACTGAAGTCAATTTCAGCAACCAGTATAGTGTTAAGCCTATGAAAATGGTGAATAAACCACTTGATATTTCTGTGTGTGATCAACCAATTTACTGAGTTTCGAACAGGTTCTCAACAGCCAGGAAGTGAAGGAGCACATTCATATTTACCTGCTTCGTTTAGTCTGTGCAGGTCAAACTGGATAACACAACACAAAATTTTTTTTTTGTAATTTATTTAGCGACATGGGTTGTCCAGACTAACCAGGGTGCAGCATTGATGAAGTCAACAAAATCAATCCTCAACATATTGGATTTGTGGTTTCTGATCTCTGTATGGGCCTGAGGTTGACATTAACAGTCCTAGAGAGTAAATGCAGGCAGGGACCATACTTGAGCCCTAAGGGAACATTGACTTTGAGATAAACACACCATATAAACTGTTCTCTGCCTTGAGTTTACAGCAACACTAACTTGCAGACATGATAGAAGCTTACATCAATACTAATATTTCCTTTCGCTTTGTCTTAAATGACTATGCTTTAAAAAAAAATCCATTTCTCAAAAAAATGCATTTGTCATGCTGCATTTAAAATGCATGTAGAAAAATGACTTTTACATTAGCATGTCAGTTATGACTAACCTCATATCTGTAGAGAATTCTATTCATAGAAAATATGAAACTCCTGTAGTTGTTCTTAAAATTGCATGACTGGCCTTTCTGATGTTTTAGTAAGTTCCTTTAACTTGACTTTAAAAGGAAATGAAAAATATGCATGAAAATGTATATGTGCTTTCAAAATTTTGCAAGAAATAGCTATGTATTAAAGAAATATATATACATATCTTAGCCCTAAGTTGCATCCAAAGAGTCTGAGATCACTTTATTTGCTCTCTAATTATTAATTTCAAGGTGACAAGCATTTATTGGCTATTTCTAGGACCTATATTAAGTCACCAAACAATTTCTTAAAGTGTAGTCTTCACAAAATTAGAGAATTAAATAGAAAAAGTTAAAATAGTAACAAAACATTTATAAAAAGTCTTGAAACAGAATCTTTATCACATAACCTCAAGTTGCCAATTACTTTGAATTATATTTCTGAAAATACTTATTTTGCAATGTTTAGCCCAAATATTTGATTGGATCTTCCTGCTGTATATTCCTATTCCTATTTGTGTAGGATCATTCATTAATATTTGGATTTTAAATACTGCAGCTCAGAAATGTAGAAGGATTCCAGCTAATGCAATTCCCCTGAGCCACTTTATGTATACACAAACCTTTTCCCATGAAGCGTTCACCTAGCAGAGCATATTTTATAGTACAGCGGAGCCAAAAAATGCAGTTATCACCGGTATCTTTTAATCCTGTGAAACTTTTTTCGATCGTGAATTTTTACAAGTGTTCCCTTTCTAAAACAAATTCTAGCCAGGAACAGACACTTCTTTTCCATCTGATTTAATTCACCTCTTCCTTTTAACCCCTGTGTACTCGTTCTCTGTGTCCCCTGTCTGGATTTGCTGGTTCCCGTGTCGTCTTCTGTGTGGCGTGGTCATTAACACAGCGGATGCAGCACTCCGTCCGGTGTGGAAGGAGGCAGCGGACGTAGCACCCCTTCCTCTGTCAGCACTCTTAGTACTATTTGCCCAGGTGACTTGAAAGTTGCTGCTAAGATGGCCCCTAACATTCCTTTGGAAATGGAACTTCCTGGTGTGAAGATTGTACATGCTCAATTTAATACACCCATGCAGTTGTACTCAGATGACAATATTATGGAAACACTTCAGGGTCAGGTTTCAACAGCTCTAGGGGAAACACCCTCGATGAGGTAATAAGAGTCTTTCTGAACCGTGGGCATGTTAACTAAACACATGGGCAATGTTGACTTTACTGCTATCTTGTAGCATTGTCTTAATCGAAAGAAAGCTTTCAAGAAAAAAAAAAGTACTAAGGGTTTATTGCAGATATCTAGGCCTAATGATAATGGCGATTTGAGAAATTAACCAAGCACAGTTTTATGTGACAGATAGCAATACAATGAAATCATGGCAGGAGGAAATGTACATGTCTTTTGAAAAACTACAATGTACTTTACAAATGTCTGGGACAGTACTTCTCAAAAGTGATTTATAATCTGGGATACTGTGTTTCTTCTTTGGGTGTCAAAAACTGGGGAAGGGATGGGAGGTTTAGAGAAGTTTTAACAGAAATGATACCTTTTGTCTCTTCTAATGGCATCTTGTGGAAGAGTTAATTATTTTTACATTTAATATGTTTGCCATGAATAAGGGTTTGTAAGTGAATATCTCAAGCTACTAATGTAGATATCTAATTTCCATTGGTCTCTATTTTGACTAATTTCTTCTTTATTATGCATATTTGTTCAAAGTACTTTTCAATTAAAGAGATTTATTAGAAAATAAAACCGTATTACTTCTTTCAATATTATACAACCATTATAAAGTATTATAATGCTTATAAGTGCTTTGTAAGAATATCCCAAAGATAGCCCTTGGGATGAATACAATGAGATAATAATAGCATAATGTATTTCAAAGCCATCTGCAAGGAGTTTCAGATAGGTAAGATGACTATTTCCAAATATGATATAAGTAATAAAAATGTGTGCAAATAGCAACTACCTTTTCTAGATAATGCAATTAAATGACAAAAATTGTAATACATTACAGTGCCTGATATGTATTTTTATTGTGGCATTTTTTATTGTTCATCATGAATATATTTGTAGAAAGTTTATTAAAATAAATCATCTATCATTTTTGTAAATGAATTATAATGTAGCTATTTAGTAGCCTATACAACTGACTTCTATGTGAAAGTCATTATATTATGTGCTTTCAAACACTGACAAGTTGAATTCTTCGATTTACAGGCAAAATATTACCTGATTCAGGAGTTAACAAAACTAAACCATACACTTTTTGTTTAATATCAAAAATGAATCTGAATTTTATTAACATATTTATGACTGAGATAAACTGGGCTCACTCATGCACTTTCTATCACACGTATGTGGTCTTTTATTTCTAGAAAGTTAATTTTGTTCACATTATAATTATATATCCATCAGACGCACGCATTATTTTTTAAATTACTATTCCCTAACAACGTTTCAGTTGCCCACCAAACGATTCTTCCACATGGAGAAGTGCTGGAGTGACCCCCAGGTTAATCAATGATATTTTTAAGGCAACCCGTGTGGATTCACATTATACTTAACTATCATAGAGATTAACTTGAGAACACTGAATCTCTGTTCGGGAGTTCTGTAAATATAGTAGTCACTGCTTATTGTTATCTTGTGTCTTCCTGCACATACACACGCTCCTGACGCGGCTTCGCCCGCCATGTTGTTTCAGTGAACCCACGGCCTCCGTGCCCCCCGAGTCAGATGTGTACCGGATGCTCCACGACAATCGGAATGAACCGACCCAGCCTCGCCAGTCAGGCTCCTTCAGGGTGCTCCAGGAACTAGTGAACGACGGCCCTGGTGAGCAGTCCGTGAATGTCTGCTGAGACGTTGTTGACAGAGGTTATTCCAAGGGTCAGGGGAGGGGAGGGCAGCAAGCCTAATGGGAATGAGAGTCTAAAAACAGATTTTCATCAGTCATCAAATGACTCTTTGCTGAAAAGGGTTTGGTGTTGTTTGGTTTAGGAAGAGAACATCCAGAACATATTTAAGTAGCCACCAACTTGATGGTAAAAGAGCATCAAAGATAAATCCTATCTCAGTAGTCAAGGGCTAGTTCAGCTTAACGATCATAAAATACTGCAAGATTTCTCAGCCCCCCCCCCCAATATCTCAGGGTATCATAACCATCAAATTTTTAAGATAACACTGGAATGAACACTCCCTACGTCCCAAATCCTGTGCTTAGCTGCTTTGCACATGTGATTATTTAATCCTCACAATAACTCAGTGAAGTAGGAGCTGTTATTTTCCCTATTTAACAAAAGAGAAAATGAGGCATAGAGAGAGTGGATTTGCACAAAGCCACACAGCCAGTAAGAAACAGAGTTCGGTCTCCAGCCCACTCCTGAAGTCTTCAGAGTTCATACTCTTACCAATGATTTTCCATGTCCAAAAGATATATCCTGTCCTTCAGAAGTTGCACAGAAATGCAAAAATGCCCCATTAATATAGCTATTACCAAAAAAAAAATGGAAAATAAGTGTTGATGAGGATGTGGAGAAATGGGGACCCTTGTGAACTGCTGATGGGGAATGTGAAATGGTACAGCCACTGGGAAAAACAGTATGGCGTTTCCTCAAAAAGTGAAATCTATAATTACCACGGGATCCTGCAATTCCACTCCTAGATGTATACTCAGAAGAACTGAAAGCAGGGACTCAAACCAATGCTTATGCATCAGCGTCCACAGAAGCATTATTCACAACAGCCAAAAGTTGGGAACAACCTAAATGTCTATTCACACATGAGTGGAAAAACATAATATGGTATATATCCATAAAGTACACTATTATTCAACCTTAAAAGGGAATGAAAATTCTGATATATGCTGCAACATGGATGAACCTTGAAAACATTCTGCTAAATGAAATAAATCAGAGACATAGGGATAGATATTGCATGATTCCATTTATATAGAAGACATTAGAATAGTCCAGTCATAGCGACAGAAAGTATAATAGAGGTCACCGGGGTCTGCAAGGAGAATGAAATACAGAGTTAATGTTTCCTGGTTACAGAGTTTCTGTTTTATATGATGAAAAAGTTCTAGAAATAGGTATCAGTGACGGTTGCACAAAATTGTGATCATACTTAATGCTAGTGAATTACACACTTAAAATGGAGAAGATGGTCCATTTTATACTATGTATCGGTTCAGTTCAGTCGCTCAGTCATGTCCGACTCTTTGCGACCCCATGAATCACAGCACGCCAGGCCTCCCTGTCCATCACAAACTCCCGGAGTTTACTCAAACTCATGCCTATCGAGTCAGTGATGCCAGCCAGCCATTTCATCCTCTGTTGTCCTCTTCTCCTCCTGCCCCCAATCCCTCCCAGCATCAGGGTCTTTTCCAATGAGTCAACTCTTCACATGAGGTGGCCAAAGTACTGGAGTTTCAGCTTCAGCATCAGTCCTTCCAATGAACACCCAGGACTGATCTCCTTTAGGATGGACCAGTTGGATCTCCTTGCAGTCCAAGGGACTCTCAAGAGTCTTCTCCAACACCACAGTTCAAAAGCATCAATTTTTTTGGTGCTCAGCTTTCTTCACAGTCCAACTCTCATATCCATACATGACCACTGGAAAAACCATGACTAGACGGACCTTTGTTGGCACAGTAACATCTCTGCTTTTTAATATGCTATCTATACTTTACCACAATTTAAAAAAGAAAGATGCAAAATGTTCTCTGTTCCTTTGAGCATTTTGTAACAGCTCCCTAGAACAACAACCGTTTTTAACTAATTTCATTTCGTAAGGTCCTGTTTCAGAATAAATTATGCTTGAACGAATCCTGGTTCTTTCCAAATGATATTGTGGGTACAGCTAAGAATTCCTCAGGTTAAAGTGCACACCTTAAAATAGAAGCAAAGTATAAACCATAGCCAGCTGCTCCCTGGCCATAAATGGAAGCACTTTGTTTTTCAGATGACCGTCCTGCTGGAACTCGGAGTGTGAGGGCTCCAGTTACAAAAGTGCATGGCGGTGCTGGCGGCACACAGAAGATGCCATTCTGTGACAAATGTGGGAGTGGCATCGTGTAAGTTTCAATTTCAACCCAAAATTCACCATCAATCTTGGCATCAGTTCCCTATTTCCTCTACTTTAAGAATCCAGAGATACAAGAGACTTTAAGTTTTATGAAAAACAAATTTCTATTCAGCGAACTGAAATATAAATGTCCACAACATTTCGGGCAGCTTGACCAGAAATCCTTTAGGTGTACCCCCAAATTAGCATAGAATGTGAGCTGGAAATTCTGACTTATAATTTCAGGTATATGCTCATGAAAGGAAACTGCCCCAGAAGTATATTCTAAAAGTCATTTCCAAGAATCATGACTTCACTTCAAAAAGCCCTCCCTTTGTTGATGCATAGTCCTTGAATTCTTCCTTTTCTGTATAAAGCCAGGAAAACAAATATGGGGGTCATCCAGTTGTTCATTAAAACACATTATCCTTAGTCGATTTCTTAAAGTTGCACAAATACTGAAATATGATTTCTAGACACACAGCTTCCATTTTAGGGGCTTTAGGTGTAAATAGCCACCCTTGCTAGTTTCAGATCTTCAAGTGAACCAGATCATTTCAGTCCCTCCACCTCCTGGCCTGTGGGGGCACATCTCCCATCCCCTTTCTCTGCTCCCCTGTCTCTAGCTCTCACGAGGAGCTATCAGTCTGGTCACCCAGGAGGCATCCCAGGAGGGCGGGGGAGGGGATAAGCCTGCTTTTAGCACAGAGAGAGCTGGGAGACAGAGAAACAGGCAGGACAGGGGGCTGGGGGCAGGGAGGACCTCGTAACACACCACAGGTCGTGATGTTACCCAGAGTATTGGGTTGGCCAAAAAGTTCGTTCGGGTGTTTCCCATACACTGCAATGGACAAACCCAAAAGGAGTGTTTTTTGGCCAATCCAACAATTGTTGCTCCGAAGTTGGATTAACTGTTTTGACAGTTTACTGTGGAAAGGCAAGTGTACCCACCCATGGAAATTCCATTTCCGCCCTTTGGTGTGTTCTGTGTTCCATAGAGTGGACGCTGGACCACTAAGCTAGACAGTAAGCAGAGGGACTTTGGTTGTGTAGACAACAACCTTGGTCACAATCTGATTCCTTTGCAGAGGATTATCTGCATCATCTCTCCTGCTTCCAAAGAAACAATGGGGAGAGGTCATGAAGTAAGATCCTATCATTTCTCTAAAAAAAAGAAAACTTGTTTGAAAAATAAAAGTCTGAAAAAGTCACACATGAACAACGTAGAGAAACCCGTGAAGATTTACTGTGGTCGTCTTGGCTCTCCCTGGCAACTGCATCAGTTCCACAGCTGTGCCCAGTTTTACAGCTATTGTTTCCTGAATGTGAAACACCTGCCTTATCTGTAGTGCTGGCTCCCTTTGGGTCATGTTTTTGGCTGTGTGTGTGTGTGTGTGTGTGTGTGTGTATGTGTGTTTTCACGAGGGTCTCCTTTTTCCCCCACCAGTGGTGCGGTTGTGAAAGCACGGGACAAATATCGGCATCCAGAGTGCTTCGTGTGCGCCGACTGCAACCTCAACCTCAAACAGAAGGGCTACTTCTTCGTGGAGGGGGAGCTGTACTGTGAAACTCACGCCCGGGCCCGCACGAGGCCCCCAGAGGGCTACGACACGGTCACCCTTTATCCCAAAGCTTAAGTCTTAGGCAGAAGGAGCACGCACTCACCCAGGCGCACCTTCACAGGCTGGTGTTAACGGCTTTGGGCAGATTTATAGCAAAGTGCTGACGCCAAATCTAGAACCAAGATTTTAGACACATTGTATTTTTAGGAGAAGGAATGGGAGGTACACGCCTGCTGTAACAGAAACATGCATTCAACTGTTTGCGGGGGAGCTTAGCAATAACTTAATGGCATTTAAAGCAATAATTTTTTCCATGTCATTCTCCACAGTTTACATTTATATTATTATGACCATCAAACATGTAAACATCAAGATATTTGGGGAGTCCAATTGTCTTTCCTTAACCAGCTGACTTTGCAATTCTAGTAAATATCAAATGACAATCTTGTATTCTAACAAAATCTGCAGTGTCTGTTTCAACAATTACAGTGCATGTCAGGGAGAAATTCTGTAGATGTCTCTAATTTCATATTCAAATAGTCGTACTGCCGGATGCAACATAATAAATACATAAAATATTTTTAAAATACCTAATGAAGTGGCACTCGCTGAATTCAGATAAAATCAACATTCCAATGAGGGAGCCCAGTCCTGACTTGTCATGTACACCGACAAGTATAGTGTACACGCGGGTATTTTAAGGACAAAAATATGGTTTCTTTAATTTTTATAATTCATTTGCTCTTTCTTATGAGCCCACAATTTCTGCTGATTGGAGGGGAAGTTTTAAATTTGCTAGTTAAAGGTGATACAGTTTCAGATTAAAACAGTTTCTGTTGCTTTGAAATAGTCTCTTTCATTTTAAATGTCTCTTTCAGATAAATATTCAAAGTTCAGACTCCATCAAGGCTAGTTCTTTATTCTCAAGGCTCACCACCACCATCTTCTCCTCCCAAAGATGGCACCTCCAAGAGAAGACATTTAGGGAACCCTCTGGGGAGGAAAGGGGCTGCTGCTCTCCTGGGGTCCTGCTTGTATTCTCTGCTGAAAATCCATGGTTCCACTTGTGCTGTTTTCTCAACATACTTGGAACCAGACAACAAGCCCACCTTTACCACCACCTCCAAAAGTCTCGGCTCAGCTTTCCCTTGAGTCATAGTTTCTTTGCATCTCAGACATGAACCCCATCTGGCCCCTGACTCAGCTTGGGCACCTTGCCCTTCACCATGGTGGTGCCACGGCAATGCCCCCTGAGTTGCATGTCTTACCTACTTCCCAAGCTCATCCCTGGGGACAAAGCAGAACTTATAAAACTGTGCTCTCCAAGTATAAACCATGGCAACCAGCAGGCTGGGGATGTAGGGATGGTCTCAGGCCCTTGGTCTCACTCCCTTGCCACAAAGTCATGTCTACTTGACTGCAGCTGCTGCCTCTAGGCCGGGAACAAGGATTCTCCTATTGTCCCAGGTAGAGACTAGGGCCCATGTTGTACTGCTCTGGGATTCTCCTAAACTTCTCTGATTATTTCTGACCCTGACTGGTCTGGGGTTTTGAACTAGTGACACAAGACAGAACACCTGCCTGGCGCCTATGGGCTATTTGAGATAGAAACTGTAACCCCTGTACCAAAACACAAATTCGTTCACAGAGCAATTCAAAGAAAATAGAAAACTATGTGATCAAAGGAATGGCTGTATTCAAACACATTACTTTTTTTGTTCAGATGTTATTTTTAAACTTTTTTTTTTCTGGGAAGGATATAATCTTAAAAAGTTTGGAAGCTAGAGAGCAAATGAGTGGGAACTGATTTAGGAAATCTGAGAAAGTTAAAATCCAAAGCAGCAATGGAGAAAACTGAAGACTCAACCCAGAATCTTGAAAAAGCGAGGGAACTGGTAACATAGGCATTTCTAGACTAGGGGATAAACATGGAATTAACAATAAGGAGGGTCATGGACAAGCTGTTTGAGAAGCACTTAATTCCCACTGTGTCCCCTCTCTGCCCCTCTCTCACATACCCATTGCCTTTCCTAGTGGAAGTTTGCCTGGTATTATCTGGAGAAAGTCAAACAGCATCTCTGGAGTCAGGAAGCACAGTTGAGGGTATGTGTACCATACTAAAAAGAAGTTAAATAAGCATGAAGGACTCATGAGAAGAAAAGTGAGCATTAGACATCATGCTGTACCTTAATGCATACGTTATGTTAGATATCAGACTGTATTTTCCTTAAAATTATATTTTCTATATTTTGTAATGAACTTCTTAAGTTCAGATGTTCAATAATGAGGGGAAGAAGTAGTACAGCTTGAAAAATAGCACTAGAGCTCTAATCTGGAATTCAGGAGCCATGTGGCTTAAAGCTGATAATTCAGTCCATGTGACTAAGGTTTGTGATTATTGTTGTTTAGTCACTAGGTCATGTCCAACTCTTTGCAACCCCATGGACTGTAGCCTACCAGGCTCCTCTGTCTATGGGATTTTCCAGGCAAGAATACTGGAGTGAGTTGCCATTTCCTCCTCCAGGGAATCTTCCTTACCCAGGATCAAACTCTTTGTCTCCTGCATTGGCAGACAGATTCTTTACCTGGGAAGCCCCAAGGCTTATGAAGCAAATTCTAAAACTGCATGTTCATTATTTTTAATTAAAATTACTCTTTTGATGATTAAATCTAGAATTTGAACATAAAGATAAATTTATGACAGAATTAACCAATAGAAATGAATGCAATATAAAAAATCACTTTAAAACATAAAATACAGGGTGAAAATAGCAATGTTACAATGGAAAGGAATTAAAACTTCTTAGAAAAGTAAAAAAATAAAGCAGTATTTCTCCCTGTCTTTCTCGCTTTGTCTTTCAATAATGAATTCACACCTGGGCTTATATAGGAATTCATGCCACAAACAAAGAATGCCAACCAGTTCTTATTTAGCTCTCAGAATACTATATCTTCTGAGAAAACAGATTAGTCACTGTTTTTATATTTATAAGCTTATTAAAACCAGCAATGATCAATGAAATCATCTCTGTTTAAGAACTCTAGGCTCATGATTAACTAAATTGCTCTTTTTTTCAGAGTAAACCCAGGATAGAGTTGCTACACCCTCTACCAATGGGACAACTGTTTGAATAAGAAACAGTTCTGGTTATCACATACATTTTCACCTGTGTAAGCAAAGAAAAGTTAATGGCTAATATGATATGCAAACAGTTTATTTATCTCTACATAAGATAATCTAAAGTTTGTCCATCACAGGAACATTCCAATATAGGCAGGATGGAGCTTGGGGGTTCTTCTACTAACAAGCTGAGTTGCAAAAGTTTATCAAGCCATCCTTTAAACAGATTTGACTTTAGCCTTGAGAAACTACTACTTTATAATCATTACTCTTTATTACCGTGTCATCATGGCCTTTCTTTTACTTATGCTATACCATCTGAATCTTAAGCATAAAAAACAAAATTGGAGAAAGATTGAGGGCATTCAGATAATTCAAGCAAAGAAACCATTTGTCTGATCTACATGAATATTTCAAGATAATTGTCTTAAGCTTCTATTCATGTTGGAGAGCACTCAATAAAATACTTAGTTGAGCACCTACAAAGTAAGAAATGTTGACACTGAACCCAACGAAATGGATTTTTTAATACATTGGCTATATTTACAAACTGACATTTTCAAGCTAGCTAGAATGCTTCATGTGATGGTAAGAAGTGGTTGCTTTATCATAATTTCTTTCTTTCAAATTTGTAGTAATATTATTAATCACACTTCAGAAGAACATAAAATGAGTATATACAAGTTGTTTCTGTGCCAAGGGCAAGAATATGTTGCAGAGTTTCAGACTTCCCTCTCATGAGATCAAACTCCCATTTTATCTCCTTTCCTGAAGTAGAGGGGATTGAAAAACACAACATGTGAATTACCCATCATGTCTATATATGCCAAAGTGCATGTGTATCTGTGGTTCACTAAAGCGTCAAGGTTATGCTACCAACGTCGAGTGCAAGAGCTTGCTTTGTGCACCATGATGCCTCACACAGGGGCACATGCTGTTCCGCCTGCCCCTTCACACATCTGGGCTCCAGATGCTGCTGTCTGAGTTCCCGAGGCTTCCAGCCATCACCTTCCGGAACCCTGCTTCATGTCTCAAACCTTGTCACTCCTCCACATGAAGACAGTCCTTGATTCCAGTGCTGCTTCTGCCAGCCAATGGAAAAGACTAATTGCTGCTAACAAGTACTATTAATTTTCTACTGCCCCCTTTATGTCAAATACTTGTGTTTTGTTCTGGAGATAGCCCTTTAATCTTAAAAAAAAAAAAAAAAAAAAGGACTTCAAGGGTAGGAATTCTAGATATAGGAGGAAAAAATGTTAGAGAGAGAACTTGAGGAATAGAGTACTGGGCATGATCTGAACCAATTAAGGACCAAGTATCTCTCTCTCCTTTTTTTTTTTTTTCTGACTGTGCTAGGTCTTCATTGCTGCATATGGACTTTCTTTAGATGCTGTGAGTGAGAGGCAGCCACTCCATAGTTGTGGCACATGGGCTTAGTTGCCCCAAGGCATGTGGAATCTTCCTGGACCAGGGATCGAACCCATGTCCCTTGCATTGGCAGGCAGATTCTTAACCACTGGATCACCAGGGAAGTCTGTACCAACAGTCTCTTTGACCTTAGGAAGGTTTGTCCGATCTGTAGAGATGATGATACTGAGCTTGGCTCTCTGACAGAGACTGAAGCAATAGGGAATTTCTCTGAAACAAGGCACTTCCATTAGATAAGGTTGTGTCTGTGAATGTTACAGAGGGTCCCTATTTTTCCCACTCGATCTTCTGTGTCATGGACTCTTCTCAGCCAACAAGCATGCTCACATACTCTCCAGCATGCTAAAACTCTCTCTTTCCCTTATATCTATTCCCTCTCAAGCTCCCGTGATAATCCTCTGTCTATCTCTTTAGTACAGGCAGATCAACTCTACGTTCTGAGTTTCCCCACTATATCCCTATTTATAAGTCCTCTAAGGCAGCAATCAACTTCCTAAGAGCCAAAGCTACTGGCTATTCTTAGTGA